ACTTAGTTAATTTGAGGGGATCGTGTACGCTAGCTAAAAAAAAATGGCTACATTGGGTTTCAGATGAATACCTCATCTGCAGAGAAAAAACTTCAGAACAGCAATATTTTACCCTTATTGCTATATACTTAACATGCAGTGGCAGACCAAAAGAAACTAAAATTATGCATTGCTCTCTTACCAATAGAATCTAAGCAAAGCATTCAAAAAGTGAAAAAGACAATAATTTGAGGCAAACAACTTGTATTCAACTCTGAACAGCTCTGATCAACTTAAAGCTGATTACAGCCCACTGATTTTAGATGAATGGGAAATAAAATTGCTCTTCAATTAGCCACAGTCATGGTTTCAGTCAAAAGCCATAGCAGACTTCACTCATGGATGAGACACAGGCTGCTTTATAATCCAGGCAAGAATTTGGTTATCCTGGCAAATTTATAACTCAAAATTGCACCATTGCTTTGAAGTTGTCTGACAATTTTGCTCCTCGAGAGTTAATCTGGTCACAATTTTCTTCAAGGGGAAGAAGATCACTTTGATTAACTAAACTCAGGCTATGAACACATCGATGACTGTGTCATTTTATACTTCAGATATTATGTTTTTTCTGATGTTGACCAGCTAACAAATGGATGTGTAAAACCTGTATGCTTTCTTCTTTCAGACTGTCAAAATTGTAAATAATCTGTATAGAAAGGGCAATTAAAACATAGCCATAACATTATTCACTTTCAAAAAGGCCTGCAGGATATAAGCTAGTTTGATAAACTTGCATTACCCTTTCCTTTTCTCTGGCTTCCTCATGTAATACAAGATGGAGATGGAGAATTCTGCTATGTCTATCCACAAATAAACTGGGGAGGGGTTCCAGTTTTATATACCGAGAATGAATTGTGCCTGTAGAACATGGGCGGGTGTAATATAAATCAGGGACGTTGGGGGTTGGGGGGGGGAAGAGGAGACAGGAAAGCAAAGGAGCACAGACCATAGCCCACTACTAATATGGCATAGTATCACCAAGTAGAATTTGGTTGTATTTTACCAGATGTGACACCTTAGGAGAACTGACGAACATCTATGCAGGCAGAATGGTTGCTGTGCAATAGGAAAGTCAATCCAAGGCACTGAGCACCATCGCTAGCAATACAGATCAGAAGAGTATTCGATACCAGGCCTTTCAGAAACATAGGAAAAAAGGTCTTCGATTCTACTGCCACGTGAAATTCCAGATTACTGCTTGTGCTACCCAAGACTCTTCCTCCAGTCAAGTGATTTAATGCCTAATTTACAGGTCATCAGAAACAAGTGCTCACAAATAACCAATTTGGTCATAGTTCCATGCCAAGTTATCTGGTTTTGGATGAAGTGATAGCGGAGTACCACAATGGTCATTGTCTCTTATTTGGGCAGGATAAATTGCAGGCCTCTGATCACTATTCAACACCCTCAATTGTGAGAGAGATTGCAGTTAATGCTCTCCAGATGTATTCTTGAGATGGTAGCCAGTTGCACAAAGACAGATGGGGTTGACTGCATTGACAGGAGTTGAGAAGAATGAGAAGGGACCCAATTGAAACATTAAATTCCAACAGACTAGATACAGGGATGATGCATCCCGTGGCCAGGCAGGGCAGACCAAAGGCTCAAATCTCAGGATACATACTAGGCCATTGTGGATGGAAAAGTGGAGATATTTCACTCAGTGGGCAGCAAACCTCTTGAATTCTCTACTAGGAAGGCTATGGAGGCCAAGTTACTGAATATACTTGTATTGAAGAGAGAAATAGATGGATCAATGCTAGAAGTGTTAAGGGATATGGGGAGAGCATCATGGCATTGTGATAGAGGATCAGCTGTATTCATGCTGAGTGGCACAGCAGTTTAAAAAAAATTAACCTATTTTTTCTAATCAACCTGTTCAGAGATATTTTTACACACCTCTGGATGAAGTGGGACTTAGGCTTAATGCACCATGTGCATACTCCCATCTCTAATTTTCTACATTTTTAATGTTTGGAAACACAGATTTATGATGCTTGGTGGATTTTTTGGTGTTTGCTGGGCAGGTGATAGTGAGAAGAGAGGTGACAGTCCAAAACATGGCATGCACAGTGCATGATCACATGATGTGATGGGTGAATATATGCAAGGTTTGCAACAAAGAATCTGTAAGCAGTTTAGCAAGTTACATTTAGATCACAAATGTGATAAGCATAATTTTTATCCTGCAAGCTTATGAAATTAATGGTGTGGATAATACACAAGGACCACAGTAGATACAGTTTTATTTAACCTGATTCGGTTACCTCTACAACACCCATGCATGCTACTATTCAAATGAACCACAAAACATTTAAAGAAACCTGGTCTACAGGAGATGTTGCACATGACAGTACATAATGTGTTGTTCTTCAACTGTTAGGACACTTGTTTTTGCTTGAAAATTAGTTGGAGCTATTAGGAAATCTATAGTATAACTATAATCCAAAAGCCACACAAGTAGATTGGCTTTGACATTGAAACATCCACATTTTAAAAATCCTGTTGTTTTGGAGAAGAGATGCAACGTTGTTGTCTTGTTTTAATGCAGGTTGTTGAAAGTTGATCTCTCTAGGTATGCCTGTCTTCTTTATTTGGAAGCCACCCACCAACCACTTGCCAATGTTCACTAACAGTTTACTGAATAAGAAATAGGAATAGGAGTAGGCCATTTGTGTCCCCCTTCCCCCGCCAGCTTATTTCACCAAGTAATAAGATTAGGGCTGATCGGTCCCTGGTCTCAGCTCCTTTCTTGAGCAAGTTCCTCAGAGATCAACTCCAAAACCCTAACTATCTTCTCTTTAAATACTTTGTGATTAAGCCTTTTCAACTCTCTGGGTTGGAAAATTCCAGATGATATAGTCACTACCCTTGGAAGAAGTTCATTCACGAGTGCCCCCTTATTATCCTAAACTCTAATGACTAAGTCCTAACCTGTTTAGGAGTTCCTGATAAGCCAATGCCTTCATTCTGGAAATCAGCTCAATGAATCGCTTTTGAATTGCCTCCAATACTAACCTATCCTTTCTTAAATACAAGGAACAGCATTTAAGGCAAGTGAAAGAAACATTAAGGTCTATCAGCTGCAACCCTTCAATTAATGCTCTTTCAACAAAAGTAGAAGGATATTGGACGAGTTTTACTACACCACTTTGGTACTGTATTACTGCATTGGTTGTTTTTAGGCTAGGGCCAAGATTAAAAAAGTGTCTAGGAGAATTTTCTTGATTGCAAGTAGCATACCAATGTTATAGCAGGCTGCCTTTCAAAGGAGCAGTTTAGATAGAGTCAAGGTATATTCCAATAAGGTGGGGGAGAGAAATCAAAGTCAGAGCTCCCTGGTTAACAAGAACAGAAAGAAGAAACAGAAAAAAAGTGGACATAAAGGGTACATGGATAAAATCTAAGTCAATCCATTTAACTTCAGCAGTAGTAAAACTCTGAGATGATAACCCAATACAAGAACATTAACTTGGATAAGCATGACTAATAAGGTAAAGCAAACATGTTCAAAAGCATACTTCTAACTAAATTGATGGAATTTTTCAATAACAGATATGAGGATAATGGGAGTTGATGTGTCCTGCACACTTCCAAACAGCATTTAAAGTGCTGCAAAATAGGTCTCCCAACAAAGCACAAGGGAAAGCAGCCACATGGATTCCAAATGGATTGAGTAACAGGAAACAAAGTGGTGGCGAATGGTTGCCTTTCAGACTTTAGGAAAAGACACAATGATGTTCCCTAAGGGTCAGCATTAGGACAACTGCTTCTCGATTTTTTTTGTTGTTTTTCTCTTGGATTTATGCTAAGTGGCTCACTAATGAGTGAAACAGCTGTGACTGGTGAAGCAGCAAACAGCTGGGAAGTAGCAGGGCAAGTGAGTTGCCAGGGTCAGAGGGGAAAGGTGGCTGCAAAAGGGATGACAAGGAAACGAGGAGGGGGAGAAAGGGAACAGTTTAATCTAAATCAAAGAATACCCAGCTAATTGGGAGCCAGGAAATCTAAGTCTGAGATGATAAATTCCTTGAAAAATTAATGTGATTCTTTAGCTTAAGGACACATAAATCCTTAAGAAGCCAGTATATGGGGAAAACAATGGTTGGTATTGTAACAAACACTGCAAGTAAATCTCAGGAAGAGCCTCTCCAAAAGGCTGTACCCTGCTGAGGATAAGCAATGCATTGCAGTCAGTTTTGTAATTTTTTTTGTTATTTATGAGCACATTTCACCAGTTATAAGCACTTCCTTTCACTGATTATCTTGTGTCATGCATCAGTGGATGAGTTTCTCTTGCTTCACCAAGCTTCTCTGAACTGCGACAGGCAAGTACCAATTTTCTTTGCCCTACACAAAGTGCTGCACATTTTGGATGGCACATCTAAAATGCCAAAACAATGGGGGTCAAAGGATTTTCATGTGATTAAATTTAGCAACACTCGCATTTTTTTTGAAAAAAGAAAGAATCTTAATACAGCAATGGATGATTAACTGCAGGATGTTAGATGATTCAGTAATAAGACTGGTATCAATTACACGTGTATATGGATACTGAGAACAGCCTATTCAAATCTCATTTTCATCCTTAACTGTGCTGAGTAATGGCCTTATTTAAAGTATGGAATGTATACCAAACACAAGATGGAGCATTAAAAACAAGAAAATTGGTATAATCAGATAGGTATGAATATTGCCTTGAGCTTAAAATATAGTCAGAAACACATGTTGCTAAACTTCTCAGGCTTACAACTTTTCTGGTTGCCTTCAAAAGAATAAGAGGGGGATAGTTCCCCCCCCACTGTAGTGAATTTTTGGAATTCTTTAACCACACAGGGGTTGTGGAAGCTCAATCTTTCAGCATGTTCGAGGCAGAAATAAAGGGATTTCTGCAGAGTGATGAAAATCAAGGGATATGGAGAGAGCACAATTAAATGGAATTGAGATAGTTGCTCAGCCATTACCTGATTGTGTGTCAAAGCAGGCTGCAGGGGCTCAATCGACTACTGCAGTTTTCAATGTATCTTCAGAAAACAAAATATTTAGTCATCTTGACCTAGAATTATATTGAAAATTTTCCAATTTAGTTTCATGCTGTACAGGTCTTTGAGCGATTCAACTAAACGATTTTGTTCGCTCCCAAACGTTTTCACATTTATAGTAGGAACTGCAGATGCTGGAGAATCCGAGACAACAAGGTGCAGGGCTGGATGAACACAGCAGGCCAAGCAGCTTCTGTTGGGGCTGTGACGTAGGGACAAAAATAAATGACTAATCCAAGCTATCAATAGCAATTGTTAATTCATGAAGACGGGGTGAAAGTATGGTTCAGTTCAACCATTCCTAATTACAACTCCGACTGTTTATTCGAATTCTTTCCCTTTACATTTTTGGCTCTGAATGCCAAAATGCAGCAGGCGTTTCTAAAGCTGTCCATCACCGTGCCGAAATACAACAAAATGCCCCACTGAGCAAAATCTTTCTAACGCATACTTCTTTTTGGAGGGGAGGCAGGGGAAGAGACAATTAGTTGGTGGTTAAAATAAGTCCTTGTATTATAAAAAAAACCAAGAGATGAATTGCAGCTGAACATTGCGGAGAATTGACTTACATCATCTCTCTATTCGGACAGGGGGCGGTAAACCATCGAAGCTCCAGCGCTCGCCTAAACTAACACGAACAGTGACATGCTCGAAGTCGCAATACCCGGTCCAAAGTGTTCGAGTATCGCACAGAATCCGAAATAAAATTCTAAGGCTCACCCAGTTAATGAAGTCGATAGTCCTCAACATTTGTAATCTCAACACTTCAAATGGCAAGAACTGTAAGACGACCCAATCGATCGCCGCTCCAAAACACTAATTCGATCCCTTCGTTTTTAACGGAGGTGATTTTTTTTTTAAAAAAGGGTAAAGCAGCCGACACCGATTATTGCGAAGCTGGGATCCCGATTTCTTAAAAAGTGTAAAAGTTCCCGCAGCTGAAGATGCGGCTCTGGAAATTTCTCCGTAGACTAACTGGAAGAGTTAGTGGGCTGTGTCTCGTTGAAAAAAAACTTTAACTGGTATAGGTGGCGCAGTTTGAGCAAGTACCGTACACCATCTCCTCCCCTTTAACTCTCACGTACCAGGAAAATTTCCTACCAGGACACAGCTTACTCAATAGAATGCGTCAGGATGCACGAAACGGGTCGTTTTATTTGTTAAAGGGGGAACAATGAAACAGCCGAATTCCAGATGGTCACCTGGCAGACCAAAAGTGAATCTCTCAGATTGGGTCGATCTCAGGTTTAATATCAAGGATCTTCCGAGTTAAACAACTAAACTTACTTATTCATAACCACTTAGTAGATAGCAGGGCCCAAGAATTTCTAAAGTACTTTCTCCACCATATTTCAAATCACAGCTCAAATAGCTGCTTGACCTCAAGCCAGTTGAGTGGGTCAGTGCAGACTCGATGTGCCGAATGGCCTCTTCCCGCAGCGTACGGATTCCATGACAAGAAACCATAGGAATTCGAATACCTGAAGCAAGCGGGAATAGGGCAAATTGGAGATTGCCAAACGCAAATCATTTCAGTACAAGGATATCATTCTGTAGGTGGTCTCCCTGGCTGCTCGGGAATGTTATGATAAACCTCTCGAGTATTTGGGATTTGAACTCGGGCCTCCTGGCTCGGAAATCGGGACATTACCACTGCACCACAACAGCCATTTGATACTCATGGTAATTTCCGTGGTCCATCAATCAGCTGCTTCGTCATTAATAGGTGCAGTCGACAGGTCATATCAATTGTCAGGTGAGGTGCAGGAAGAAATCGGCAAATTAAGGCAATCAGTTAAAAAAACTACTAATATTAATATAATTTACACACGAGATACATAAAGACAAGGGAGCAATCTTCCTTCATTTTATACAAAAAAGTGTTCCTCAAAATTTTTTCCCATAGTCATCCTATTTTAACACTGGAAAATTGGCACGATGCCAGACAAGGAGGGAATGGTGTGGGTTAAGCAAGGGAAATTGTTGACCAGGGTCAGGTGCATAGATCTCTTTTTAACATCTGGCTTGTAAGAAGTTCCGTAATGGGAGATTTAGATGTAGTATTGACAAATGAACCATAGATAAGAGAAAACCATGGATGTCTACTCTTCAGTCCAGGGATTCTGGCTGAGAGATTGACAGGGACACTGGGGTGAAGGAACGAGGTCAGTTAAGTTCCAGTGTGAAAACTGAAATATCTTAGTGATTAGTGCTGGACAGAAATTTAGCAGGTAAGCTTTTTTCAGCCTTTACTTTGGCATCTCAATTATGGACCGGCTGTGGGGCAGCACAGCAGCTCAGTGGTTAGCACTGCTGCCTCACAGCGCCAGGGATGCGGGTTCGATTGCACCCTCAGATTGGGGCCGGTCAAGGACAGTAGTGGGGAAGTTGTGCGTGGAGTCCGAAGAGATAGGACAGGTGCTAAATGAATATTTTTCGTCAGTATTCACACAGGAAAAAGACAATGTAGTCGAGGAGAATACTGAGATACAGTCTATTAGACTAGATGGGATTGAGGTTCATAAGGAGGTGGTGTTAGCAATTCTGGAAGGTGTGAAAATAGATATGTCCCCTGGGCCGGATGGGATTTATCCTAGGATTCTCTGGGAAGCTAGAGAGGAGATTGCAGAGCCTTTGGCTTTGATCTTTATGTCGTCATTGTCTTCAGGAATAGTGCCAGAAGACTGGAGACTAGCAAATGTTGTCCCCTTGTTCAAGAAGGGGAGTAGAGACAACCCTGGTAATTATAGACCAGTGAGCCTTACTTCGGTTGTGGGTAAAGTGTTGGAAAGGATTATAAGAGATAGGATTTATAATCATCTAGAAAGGAATAATTTGATTAGGGATAGTCAACACAGTTTTGTGAAGGGTAGGTCGTGCCTCACAAACCTTATTGAGTTCTTCGAGAAGGTGACCAAACAGGTGGATGAGGGTAAAGCGGTTGATGTGGTGTATTTGGATTTCAGTAAAGCATTTGATAAGGTTTCCCATGGTAGGCTATTGCAGAAAATACGGAGGCATGGGATTGAGGGTGATTTAGCGGTTTGGATCGGAAATTGGCTAGCTGTAAGAAGACAGAGGGTGGTGGTTGATGGGAAGTGTTCATCCTGGAGTTCAGTTACTAGTGGTGTACCTCAAGGATCTGTTTTGGGGCCACTGCTGTTTGTCATTTTTATAAATGACCTGGATGAGGGCGTAGAAGGATGGGTTAGTAAATTTGCGGATGACACCAAAGTCGGTGGAGTTGTGGATAGTGCAGAAGGACGTTGTAGGTTACAGAGGGACATAGATAAGCTGCAGAGCTGGGCTGAGAGGTGGCAAATGGAGTTTAATGCGGAAAAGTGTGAGATGATTCACTTTGGAAGGAGTAACAGGAATACAGAGTACTGGGCTAATGGTAAGATTCTTGGTAGTGTGGATGAGCAGAAAGATCGGTGTCCATGTGCATAGATCACTGAAAGTTGCCACCCAGGTTGATAGCGTTGTTAAGAAGGCGTACAGTATGTTAGGTTTTATTGGTAGAGGGATTGAGTTTCGGAGCCATGAGGTCATGTTGCAGTTGTACAAAACTCTGGTGCGGCCGCACTTGGAGTATTGCGTACAGTTCTGGTCACCGCATTATAGGAAGGATGTGGAAGCATTGGAAAGGGTGCAGAGGAGATTTACCAGGATGTTGCCTGGTATGGAGGGAAGGTCTTATGAGGAAAGGCTGAGGGTCTTGAGGCTGTTTTCGTTAGAGAGAAGGTTAAGAGGTGACTTAATAGAGACATACAGGATGATCAGAGGATTAGATAGGGTGGACAGTGGGAGCCTTTTTCCTCGGATGGTGATGGCTAGCACGAGGGGACATAGCTTTAAATTGAGGGGTGATAGATATAGGACAGATGTCAGCGGTAGGTTCTTTACTCAGAGTAGTAAGGGCGTGGAATGCCCTGCCTGCAAAAATAGTAGACTCGCCCACTTTAAGGGCATTTAAATGGTCATTGGATAAACATATGGATGATAATGGAATAGTTTAGGTTAGATGGGCTTCAGATTGTTGCGCCGACCTGTGAAACCATCGAGGGCCGAAGGGCCTGTACTGCGCTGTAATGTTCTATGTTCAGGCGACTGTGCAAATTCCACACACATTCTCCCCGCATCTGCGTGGGCTTGCTCCAGGTGCTCCGGTTTCCTCCCACAATCCAAAGATGTGCGGGCTAGGTGGATTGGCCATGCTAAATTGCCCATAGTGTTCAGGGATGTGTAGCTTAGGTGGGATGCTCCAAGGGTTGGTGTGTACTTGTTGGGCTGAAGGGCCTGTTTCCACACTGTAGGGATCCTATGAATCTATAAAACTAGGCAATAGTGACGATAATATAATATGTTTGGTATTTTAAAAGAAGGGCTTAGAGGATTGAAGAAAAGCAGAAACAAAAAAAAACAGAAGTTGCTGAAAGAGTTCAGCAGGTCTGGCAGCACTTGTGGAAAGACCCTTCCGAGGAAGGGTCATTTGACCTGAAACGTTAACTTTGATTTCACTCCACTGATGCTGCCTGACCTAAGCTTTTCCAGCAATTTCTCGGTTTTTGTTGCTGATTTACAGCATCTGTAGTTCTCTTGGTTTTTTTTTAATAAAAGAAGAGCGTTAGTTTTGACAGGCTGAGATTAGAACTTGGGAAAGTAAAATATTGTTTGTTAATATTTCTCCCCAAAGTAGAATAACAACTAATTTGCCTCATGCTTGGGACTTGAGACAAAAAGAAATATTGCTTGTTCATTCATAGCTACCTGAAGTTCATTTTGGATGTTGGAGTTTCTCAAGTTGATTTGGTAAGTTTTTATGTTTGTTGCTCAGATGTGGAATTGTGTGGCTTTATTCTATAGTACGGATTTGTGATTGCCAAACTTTATTGCGTCAGACATTCACAGTCCCTAACTGGTTCATAAGCAAATACTGGTGTCTATTCCAGGAGTGTAAACGGAACAATTGAGGGTTTGAAAAGAGGCACACACTTAAGTACACAGACAGTGG